GAGTTTAAAGGTAAAGGATAAAATATAGAGTTTTTCATATATTTACACACACACATACAAAAACACCCAAAATTATCTTTTGAAAGGTAGGATCCTTGCAGTACACGTTGAAATTTGCTCCTCCAGATCAAATGGTCAACTAAAGTTTTTATTCGGGACTTTTGAGAAGGTTGTGTCATGATTTGCATAAGAAATGTTCCCAAGTTGTGGCAGGTGACTGGTTCTTCCACCATGACAATGTACCTGCCCACACCCTGCTGAATGTTCAGTTTTTTACCGAGAATGGCATGACCTCCATGCCCTACCCTCCCTATTCACTGGATCTTGCCGAGTGACTTTTTTTTTGTTTCCCAAAGAGAAACATTTTGCCAATGTGGAAGAGGTAAAACAAAAAATGGCAAAAGCACTAAAAGCCACCAAAATTGACAAGTGCAAAAACTGTTTTGAGCAGTGGAAAAAGTGTCTTGATAGTTATATTGCCTCAAATGGAGAGTATTTTGAAAGTGACTAAAGTTTAAACATGTAAGAATAAATGCACAATGTTTTTATAAATAAATTCTGGTTTGGAGAGGGTCCCCCTCATGTTTAATGCTTTTTAAAGAACTTTTAAAAACCGTTAAGATGTATAAAATCAAATTTATTTGATTCAAAATATCATTAAAGGTTTAATACACATTCTAGACAAGTCACTCATAAACTGCCCACTCCCTGTCTCAGTTCTTTGGCCCATAAGACTGAGGATAATAGTGACAGCAGTTTCTTGTTATAAAGTCTTAGTGCGTTACTCTATCCAACTTGGGTCCACCTACCTATTTTTTATTCAGGAACAAACTGTACAATCTATCTCAAGACTTTACTTCATACATTATAACTAAAGTACACAAGATTTATTTTTATTTCTGTGTACCTGTTAAATTAAAAACTCTTCCTTCCTTCCAGGGAGCATTTTGATGCAAATACAATAAAATCTCAGACATAAAAACAACTCCCGATTACTCATTCACACACAAATACCTACTGTATGCCAGACTGTATGCTAGAACAGTCTAGAACTGGAAAAGGTGGAATAAGGCCCAGTCCTTGCTCTCAATTATTTGTTTACCTTTCATTGAGGGGAATGAAAGGTAACAAATAATCCAGTATGAAAGTGCTCAGAGAAGGGCCTATGAATGATGGAGTACTAGCAGTAATCCTGATTCAGTTCTCTATTTCTGTATAACAAACCATGTGGAAACTAAGTGACTTAAAACAACAAATAATTGTCTTTTATGGCTCTAACCGAGCTATAAATCCGAGCTCCGCTGGGGGTTTCTTGCTCAGGGGTCTCACATGTGGTTGCAGGCAGACGTCGACAGCAACTATATTCATCTGAAGGATTGGCTGGGCTTGATGTCCAAGTAACTCCACTCACATGGTGTGAGCTGAGGTAGGGTGCTCAGCTTCAGCTGTTGGCCAGAACACTTGCATGTGGCCTCTCCATGTGGATTTTCACAGCATGGCACTGGATTCTAGAGTGCTCTAAGAGTGACTGTTCTGAGAAATCAAAGCCACAAGGCTTCCCACACTCAGTTTGGAAGTTATGCAGAGTTGCTTCTACCGCATTGGACTGGTCACAGAGGACCCACCTGGGTTCACTGTGGGAGGAGAACTCAAAATGTAGGGATCCTAGGAAGCATGGTTCCCCGAAGACCATCTCCGCAGACTTGCTATCACAAGCACCGAATCATTTCAATAATATATAATATATAATAATAATAATAAATATATATATATATATATATATATTAAATTCTCTCTCCTTTTGGCTCTTAGAAGATCAATTGGAAAGCTGTTCTGGGACAACATGTAAAGCAATGAGGCTACCCTAACAGTAGCTGAGGGGGATATTAATTCATTCAAGCTGCCAGGGCACAAGGTGACCCAAAAAAGGGTGTGTGGTCAGCACGTGAATATGCAAGAGCTGGCATAAATTAGAGCTACTTTAGGGCACCATCCTCCAAGAATTTCGGTATGAACAAATTTAGGTAATCTTCAAAAAGCCAAAACAGAGATGATAACTTTCAGTGTCTGAATCACCCAGACTTTAGTACCACAGAAGTCTCATCCTCATTGTTGCACTTTACAATTCCATGTTAATAAAGAAAATCTATTTTTCACCTTTCCCTGATACACAGCAATTAAAAACATTTGTTTTTTTACAATAGAACCCTATGAATCTGTTCTTATAATATGTAATCAAGCAATTTGTCTACTCCAAACCAATTACTGTATCAGGTTGTAGCTGAGTTTGACTACTTTCACGCTTATTTTATTATTAATCCAGGCCCCTGTTCCTATTTGAACATAGGTTAGTAGTTTACAAAGTAGATAAAAATAGAAAATGCATCACTTCATCAGTATCAACTATAAATGTGCCAGCTACCCCCTATTTCAGAATTGTGTCACAATTCTTTCTTTTTAAACTATTGTGTTGTATATTTTACAATTTTAAAAGACTTCCTGAGAAAAATTCAGTATTTATCCATTTTATTTGTATTAGCCTTTAAGAAAAAATTTGAAAGCATCAATTTTTAAAGTTTTTTTAAAAATTACAGCTCAACTCTTGCCTAAAATTTACTCCACAGTATTAGCTATGTTGACCACAAGGTGGGGCTGTGATGTCACAATTTGGCAAGATTTATAAATACATAAACTATGTAAACCCAGATGAAACTAATTTAAAAACACATAGCATAAGAGAATAATCTCATTTTCCAAATATGCACTATTTTAATTACATAACCATTAATTCTCATCAGAAAACTATACTTTGGTTTATCCAGTTCTCACATAGAAGTTATTGAGCTTTGTCAAATATAAAATCATCCTGAGTAGGTGCAGAAATATATGTCACCATAATCCTTCCTATCATTTCACATCACATTCCCGAAGGAAGTTGCTAAGTTTAAACCAGTTAAAAATAATGCCTTCAAAAATTATTTTATAATTAAGCACAGAGTAGTTCATTAACCATTACAAAACTACATAATTTTTTTTTTTCTCCTTCTCCATCTCTTAATTTTATTTGGTAATCTATTATTGATTTCAGGTGCAGGTAATTTGAAATAAAGTGCATTCTCTCCATTTTCATCACTTAAAATTATTCTTTAGGTTGATTATTTGTGTTTTGTCTTGTTAAACAGGCAGAAATTTCTTTCTAATTTTCACAAGTGAATAAACATTCAAAGTTTTAGTCAACTATGTTTCAGCGAAGACAAAACAGCAGGCATACTAAACTAGTTACTTGACATCAAATAAATAAACATTGCCATTAACTCAATAATATCTGCCAGGAATGAAACCACTTTTCCAAATAAATGTTTTTAAATCTATTCTAATACATTAGGGGGACTTAAGATTTATAAAGTTCACAAATTTGTAGTCTGTATATTCACCTTCATTTATAAAAGGCATAAACCCCATTTACTCCTCCATGGTCTCTCACTACTATCCAGAGTATGTTCCCTTCTAGACAATTTTCTGTAAATTTATACACACATATATGGCTTTTTGTTTTTAACATAAATGGTATCATACTCTAAAGAGTGTGGCTTTATTCTCACAGGTTCATCTCTTAGAGATATCTGATTATTGGAGATACACAGTTGATCCTTGAACATCACAGGTTTGAACTGTGCAGTTTCATTTACACATGGTTTCTCCCCCTTTGCTACCCGAGACAGCTAGACCAACACCTCCTCTTCCTCCTCCTCCTCAGCACACTCAATGAGAAGATAGATAGTAAAAACTTATATGATGATTCAGTTCCATTTAGCAAATAGTAAATATATTTTCTCTTCCTTATGATCTTCCTAATGTCATTTTTTCCTCTAGCTTAATTGAAGAATACAGTATATAATATGTATAACATACAAAATGTGTTAATCGACTGTTCACGTTATTGGTAAGGCTTCCAGTCAACAGTGGGCTACTTATTAGTATTTTAGTTTTGAGGGAGTCAAAAGTTATATATGGATTCCCGACTGCAGGGGTCTGTCTCTCTAACCCCCACATTATTCAAGAGTCAAATGTGTGTATACTTATTTTATTCTTTTAAAAGTCTTTATAATATTCCATAAAACAAACAAATCACACAATAGAAGTAGTTTATGGAACAGTCTTCTGCTCTGTTTCAAGCTGTTTTCTCCACCCACCATCTAATCCCACTTGTTTTCCATTTTCCAAAAGTTTTAATCGACTTTTGAAAAAGTTTATCTTTTCCCCTCACTATGAATCATCTTTTTAAAGTTCCATTTTATATTATTTCATGGAATAAGAAGACAAAAAAAAAAAAAACATGCCCAGTCAACTGCCGACCCAATTTCTAGAAATATGGCATAAGATTAAAATAATTCTAACACCCATGTGTTCCAAAACTAAAAAGAACTAGTACTTGGCAGATGTCTTTCTTATGAATTGTACTACAAAGGACATTAACCTGGCTTGCACAGGAAGAACTCTACCTGCTTTTATAACCAGAATCTGTTCTTATTGTTTCGTATCCACACTATACCTGGTGCTACATGTTTTGAATCCCAAACATAATGTATAGAAATATAATTCACAAATCACTACTAAAATGTCTCCTCAACCTAGCTGATGTGAATAGTAAGATGTGGACAGCTAGTATTTACTTTGGGGGGAAAAATGCCTGACCCACAGTGGGAACTCAAAAAATATCACGGAATAAATAAACATATACTGAATAAAGTTTATCCTCTATTTCCTCACTTACTTGTAAAATGGTTTAGCTCTAATCCCTAGTTATGCTAAGATTGAAGATTTTGTAATTAAATTTATAATTCTATAGTTTTGATAAGTAATGATATCACTAACTCTACTAAGTAAAATGAAAAATATCATTGTCTTTATATCCAGATATTCTTTTGAACTATTCCACCATACATTCACTTCTAAAGATAAGCCACCAATAATAAAGAGAACAAAACGAGCTTATTTTTAAATTATTTTATTTTTCATAATTTTCTAACACATGGTGTTAGAAAATGAATTTTGGCACCATGATTAAGAACTTATTTTCAAGTTTAATCTTTAAATTAAAAACAGTAGCTACAATAAAGATATTTAAACCTTACTCAGACAAATGATGAAACATGAAGTCAACAAATATTTTTGTTGAGGAATTTTTAAAAAGTAGGATAGAGGGAAAATAATAAAGATGCTAAAACGAGTAAAAGGAGATTATGCCAAGAAGAGAAAAAAGTGAATAACTCTTCCCTACAAAAAGAATAAGAAGAGAGACAAAGGGGGAAAAAGGAAGAAGCAAGGCTCATCAACTTTAGTTTCCTGATATAAAATTCAAGTACTTAAAGAATTTTTTTAAAAAATCATCAAATGCACTTCTAATCTCAAACTGTTGTTTTTTCTCTCACTATTTTCTAGAACTTTTTTAAAAAGGAAATAAAACAAAAATCTGTTTTGACTTAAGCACACATGTCGATCTTAAGTCAATACTTAATATACTTTTATAAAGTGGAAATACTTTTCTAAATCTAATATCTACTTAGCATAACTACTTTGGAAGATTCATCTGAAGAAGCATAGGGTTTAATTTCTAATACAAATGTAAACTAATCTGCCTTACAATCTAAACAAAATTGTTTTCAACTGAATATACTCCCCAGTTGTGTTTTGTTCTAATTTTCTTACAGAAAAACATTGTGTAATATTTTCTTTGTGTTTCCTTAGTAATTACTGTAAATAAGGCCTGCAAAGATGGTCAAAAAGGTACTTTCACAATTGCATAAAATTCAGTGAGAATCAGATTTCCAAGGTTTTAAAACTTATTAATTTCACATATATCCATTTTGTCTACATTTCCTCTACATGTTGATAAATAAAATTCTTCCCAGATTTTTAAAAATAAGAAAATATTATTATTCTTGTTGATCACTTGTACATTTGTACCTGAATATTTTATCCACTTGAAACACAAATTCATAAAATTGTCATTATTCTCAGAGATAATAAAGAATAGAAATAAATATTTTTTACTTTTTTTTCTCTTTTCTTCAAACTGTGTTTTAAGGCTCAGAGCAGACATTAAGAAACATCAAACAATTTTTTATAAAAAGTTTTTCAAATGTTTGGCCCAAAGTGAAGTTGTTCTGTAGTAGTTATTTAAATATTCCTCTCATCTTCTCAAGCACAACTTCCAAGATATGTTCATGCCAGTCATCCATCCAAAAGAAAATTCAATTCAATGAAAAGTAAATAACTTAGGGATCTATAAATGACACTGCAATGTATCTTGTTCCATTTTTAACAGGAAGTCCTTCATGCAAATGTGTGAGTCTCCCAGGATGCATGAAGCTCCAGCCTTTACGTGGTGATTCAATTGAGCAATTGTATCTTAGAAATTTGCATCCACCTCCCTAAAAAGTTAAAACAAAGAGATCTGTCAGCTTTTTATTTTTAACCTTAATCAGTGGCAAAATTCAAATTATGCCATTTTAGCAATCTAAAAAAGAAACTAAGGCAAAGGCATCTTTCTTTTGAGTAATCTAAAGAAATAAGGTCATAATTACCTGAAAATCTTCTCCCACATTATTGAGTGCAATGTTGATGGTAAATGTAGAAGCATCATGATGAGGGCGAAGAGAACGTTGTCTTTCAGGGGAGTACTTTACTACAAAATTCAGTAGTGCAAATCCCTTAAAAAAAAAAGCAAAGTAAGCCAGTGGATTTGCTTATTCATAAAAGCATTTAAAAAGCACATATGGGTAAAAATTCATAGGAAGAAGGAAAGAGGGATAGGAAGATAACTACCTTTGTATAATAGCCTGCAAAGACCTTCAGTGTAACCGGTGCAATAAACTCCCGGATAAAATGAAGCCATACGTTCTCCAGATCAATTTGCTTCATGTGGATATCATCAGTTGGGACATTTTCATAACCACCAGTTATACGACTATCCTAGAAACAGCATTAATGACATCATAAAGTGTAATCCATGTGCAATTCACATTTACATCATGGTATTTTTTTTCAACCACAGATCATAATAAACTATAAAAATAACAGTTGTACAATTATGGTATACCATCTGCTTTAATTGTAAAGCTATCAAAATAACTTAGATAACATAGCTTTGCAAATGATACAGTGATGAAGGTAAGTATTGTAGAATCAGTAGATTCCTTTCCTACTTATTCAGTGTACATGTGAGGTTTAACTATAAAGTAAATAAAAATGACATCTTAAGTTTTCACACCCTCTCTTTTAAAAAAATGAGGTTTTTTGTTTGTTTGTTTGTTTGTTTGTTTTTTCCAGTGACCCTTCAGGCAGTTTTAGCTGCTTGAGGAACACAGATTCCATGTATCTGCTCTTTGGATTCCAACCACCGAAAACAAACGTTTGCTGCTGTTCCTCCCTTCTATTTTGTGACATCCAAAGTCTTTCAAAGACTGCTTTTCATTATTTCGCAACCTACTGACTTGAAGTTCTTTTTTATACTTGGAATTTCCCTCTCCCTAATCAGCTAACTAATTGTACAGAAGCAGTAATATTCCACAGTATTCCACTAACATTTTTCTTTCCATGTTAACACAAAACAATCGTTTTGACAGCCAACCTGATAAGGTTTGTCTTACTATTTTCACTACAGTTCCAGTGAAAATGCATGAAAACTCAGGGAATAAAAAGTGGCCTCGGAGAAGAGCAATACCATGCCACTCCATAAAGACATGGATTTCCGGTTCACCTCCAGTGTCAGGACACTGCCCCCTAGGCACCATCCATTGGCATATCACATGAGAAGCTAGGGCCTAGATAGATTAAATGATTTCCTCAAGTATTAAACAATTAGCTGGTAGCAGAATTTGACTGAAAACAGTTCTCCTGATAGCCTTGGCTAGTCAGTTAGGTCTAGAACTCAGAGATGTAGGACAAAAAGAGCACATCTCCTCTGAATTATCTGAATATTCACTCCCTAACCACCCCCAACACACACACATTTTAGTTCTTTTTGTGAAATTACAACTTACATGATGTTTTCCCCCAGACCATTGGCCATAATGCTCCATTTCTTCGACTAGCTCATCACAGGCTTTTTCGGAAAATATGGGGAACCAAAAAACATCAGGACAAGGCTATAAAACATGGTATCATCATTAGAAGACATAATAGCATCCGTGTCTTAATAGTCTAAAATAGCTCTTCCAACAAGTGTAAAATAAAAAGTTCTAAAGAAAACAACGTATCATAACCTAATTAGCAGTATTTATTTTGTTTCTCATGGTCCATAAAATAATGGTTCATCTCAGAATTGGTGACACCTTACATTTTTGAAAATGAAGTATTAGAATTGATTTTTTAAAAGAGCCCACAAGAAAAGACTCTTTCTTTAAGAGAGCCCAATTTCTTTCAACGATAAGCTTTCATTGAAAGAAATCCACACCCTTGTTTTTGGTGGTTTCAGAAAGCTACAACTCTTAGGAAAAATTTTTTTTAAAAGTCATGATCTTAAATTATTGTTAATCTCCATTTTCTACATTTTTACAACTCTATGATACTTAAGCCTATGTAATTAATAATTAAACTGCGTGAATGTTACATAAAGGATAGCTTCTCAACTTTCACAACATCTTCCACCAAAGTAGTATTACATAGATATTACTGCTTTCTGGAAAACACAGCAAAAATGTTCTATGTGTCATAATCATTATTAAAACCAACCTGCTCAACTAGATTTTCAGTGAAAATCTTTGAATAATCCCGATTTATATATTTTTCCTTCCAGTCCTACAAAAAAATACATATTAAAGGAAATAATTTATAAATATTTTACTGACAAAGTACATATATCTTATAAATTACTCCAACAATTTATAAATGATTATGTGTAGTGAACAAAAGAGGACTTTTCAGAAACCACAGTATATGTTTTAATCTTTGCCTGATTCTATGTGTGTCTACATTATTCTATGAAATTCAACATTTTTATTTATGAAATTTTATACTTCAGGATTTTAAAACTTGAATAATCTTACAGTGAATAGATTTTCATGCTTAAATGTTCCTTGACTCATGATAGGATTATGTCCCAATAAACCCATGGTAAGTGAAAATGCATTTAATACTGTGATAAACCCATCAGAAAGTTGAAAATTCCTAAGTCAAACCATCAGAAGTCTGGGACTGCCAGTATTTTTCGTATATATATATATATATATATATAGAGAGAGAGAGAGAGAGAGAGAGAGAGAGAGAGACAGACAGAGAGAGAGAGAGAAGTAGGTAATGCATGTGTGTTTAAAAGCAAAAAATGAGCAAAATTCTACAACAAATATTAGTAAAAATTAATTAGTAAATTAATTAACTAGGGTCTTATATATACTTTTATAGTAAACTACTCTAAAATTTTCTGACTTATTTAAATGAATATAAAATTTCTGCCTCTGCTTCAGTTTTTAATAATTTTTGAAAGAATGATCATGCATTGCTAGCACTTTTTTTGTTACTAAAATTAAGACATAAGGCTGTATACTGAAAAAAGTTTATCTTCATTCTAATTCATGTATTTGATTATTCTCTTTGACCAATATCTGGCATAAAACCACAGATAAAACAATCTACATTTTTTTTTCAACATAAGCTAAAGAATCCTTTTTCTTGGGGCAAATGCTTTATTTAAATATGAGTATTGAAAGATATTAAGGTTAAACAAATAAATAAATAAATAAATAAGGTATTCATTAAAATATAGAGTGATTCAGGTTTCCAAAAAAATCTCTTCTAAAATGTATTTACAATATTTAACAAAACTCTTCATTTTCTCTTTACAAAGTATAAAGCTAAGAGAGCCAACAGGGAAGAACTGAGAGGCATGCACTCAAAAAAATTCCAATCAAAATGTTTCAAAACAATATTTGACTGGAATGTCTTTTGAGAAAAGATTTCAGAAGGCTGATAATTTATATCATGATAATTTATATGCCATTTTATTTTGCATATCTGTTTATATGCAACTCAGATATTTTTGATGTGAAGTAAACAAAATTATCTTCAAATTATTTAATAAATTTCATTTAACCATAGTATAGAAAGACCAGATTTCTGTATTACCTCATTATTCTAATATTTATTAGCTTTCTAATTCTAATATATAGAAAAAAATTAGAAGCAATCACCTATATGATTTAAGAATTTTTCACTACAGCATTTTTCCCCTATGCATCAATACTTTTTTTTTAAGTTAAAGGAAAAAAAGCCCTGGATGTTTTTACATTAGGATATTAACACTAACATTTCATTTTAGACCAACTTTCAAATAATTGAGCAAACTTTGACTTTACTAGTTTCTTGGAAATTCAGGTAACGGGATAATCACTAAGTATTTGGCGATGGGATTTCTCTCATGAAGCATATTGATCAGGCTACTTTAACAAAGAACAAAGAAAGCCATGACAAGAAAAGCAGTTTTTACTCGATTCTGGTCTTTTTATTGCATGCTCTCTAAAGACAAATTCTTACACAAATGTCTACAATTTAGGATAAAATTTAGGACATCTTACCAGGAAACTAATGTTACCCACGAAATCAAATAATTCTATCCCTCAAGGTACCAAGAAATTCAGTGCCAAAGTGAAATACAGAATTCCACCTTCACCACTAAAAAAAAAGCCTCTTTTCAACTCTACCCCTGTGAAAGATGAAGATATGCACCTAATCTGAAACAGAAGTACTTTTAAAGTAATAAAGTGTCAAAAGATATTCTTTTTTCTATTCAACAGAATATCCAGAGACTGTTGAATGTACTATTCCAGGGTCACAACTATTCCTACAAAATAAAAGCAACTCTCATCAGATGGATTGAGTCTTTGCAATGTGAAACTTTTACTACTGGTGAGGGAAAACCATTATAGCAGGGTTACAGAGATGATTGTTCAAGAGAGTATTTTCCCTTGAATAAATGTGTCAACTTGTCTAATGAAAAAAAGTCTTGTAAAACCTAAGAAAAATTAATTACTGTCTGATTCAAATCTGTAAAAAAAGAAAGAAGAAAAATAGACTTTAAAAGGAAATAGTTTCCTCAAGTTAAGTCTTCCTTTATATGCTGGATCAGCTTACTCTAAATTTTCTCTGGCTATATTTGGTGCACATTCACAAAACTGTAAAAATAAATTAACAAAATAATAACATGTATTTTCCCAGACTAAATTCTTAAATTTTCTTCCCCAAAATAAATATCATATGTGACTATTAGTAAACATTTTTCTGAAATTATAATTAAAAATTAGATGGTGTTTTTGAATACATAAAACAAAAATATCAGGTGAAAACAGAGAAACTGATAATTCCTTTCTCCAAAACTAATATATGTATTCATAAAAAAAGTTGTTGGTCTAATTTAGATCTACTCCATAGATCATGAAATATAATTGATTATGTTATTTTTCAAAAGTCTCTTACCATATTTTTATATTATTACCAGTTTTACATCCATTTAGAGGTATAGGAAACTAATAAAGTTGAATATGAGATACATACCACAGGATTTTCAAAAATCTGCCAGAGGTCATTGTTATAATGGGAAGTATTATAATTAGCAGTTGATAATAGCCTTCCAAATTCATGTCTATTAGAAATGTACATAAATACACCCTATATGCCAAAAAATAACAGTATTAATCATAGAGGTAGGTACAAAAATACATTTAATTGTGGGAAAAATACATAAGATATTAATTTCAATTTTAATTTCATTTATAAACATGCATTTTTACTTTCCATATAAAACATACATCATTTAAAATAAAAAATAAAATTTGGTTATGAATTCAAGATATCACACAAAACTAGTAGACAGCACTGACACTCAACTGAAAAAAAGAAGAATGGACCGTTTTTGTCCATTTCTCATTGATCCTAGATGTAGATATCGGGGAAAAAATTCCTGTTTAAAAGAAGAAATATATTTGAGATACCAAGTGCAATAAATTGTATCTCTTCTTTCCCTTTCAAAGAAGACAAGGTCACATTTTTAAACAAGAATTCAGAGTGTCAGTAATATTTCATCAGTCTATTTAATTCTTCTGTTGTTCTAATATGTAAAGAAAGACTGAACACCGAAATGAGCTGTGCATTATAAAGGCAGCTTAAAAAAAAAGCCCCAAACCAAATAAATGTGGAGAACAGCAACGAGGTAAACTTGTTTCTTTTGGCACCTGTTTTAATGGCAAGAGGGTTAGTGACGAATAAAATAAATCAATAAAGAGTACCCAATATTTTACCAAGTGAAATGACTTTGGCTTAACTTTCTCACCTGTCAACCATAAAATGCACATCAGTCCAAAGAACCAGAGTTGATTATCACACAATGCCCACCCCCAAATCACACAAAACACACACACACACACACACACACACACACACACACACACACACACACATATACAGATTACTAACCAATGAATACCAACATTTTACCAAGCTAAATGCAAAGAAAGCTCTTAAAGAAACTTTACTGCTAGGCAACATACCATATCAAATATTAATTAAATAAACAAAAATAAATAAAAAAATAACACCTTTGGGGGGCTGAGCATTTGGAATGTTTCCGGAGTAGGGGAGTCTTTTTCCCTTTGTAAAGTCTAAAATGAAGAGAAGCATTGGGTAAGTTGACCTGCACACCCACTCTCTCAGGTATTCTTTGGTAAATAAAAATAGCAGCTTTGAACAAAAGCTGACATTCTGAAATGTCCTTAATAGACAACATGCAGAACAAGCAAAGCTTATAGCGCACACAAAGAAACATTTCCAGCCCTTTCAGCCTTTTCTTTCCTTTTTTTTTTTCGGTCAAACATAAATCCAAGCTCATTCCTTAGTAGAACTTTCATTAGACACACAATTAAGACAAAGGAAACAATGAGTAAGAGAGGCCATTCCAGGATGCGCTGTTGAGTCAAATTAGCCAAACATGAGCACAAAATACAATCACAGGTACTGAGGATATTTAATAATAACAATGCACATAGGTTTGTGGGAAAAACAAACATATTCAAACAACACATGCCTTGTTAAACTAAGAAAAAAAAATACTTGCCAACTTTTCTGATTTTTTCCCAAATCGCAATGGCTTATACAAATTTGGAAATTAGAAATACAATAACCCAGTTAGTTCTTTAAAAAATCATATAAGCCGGGCTCGGTGGCTCAGCCTGTAATCCCGCGCCTTTGGGAGGCTGAGGTGAGTGGATTGCCTGAGCCCGCGGGTTCGAGACCCGCCTGGGCAGGCGAGACCTCATCTCTACAATAAATCAAAAAATTAGCCGGGCGTGGTAGTGCGCACCTGTAATTCTGGCTACTCGGAAAGCTGAGGAGGAAGAATTGCCGGAGCCCAGCAGGTTAAGGCTGTGGTGGCGGGGAGTGGCCACTGCACTCCAGTCTGGGCAACAGAGTGAGACTCCAACTCAAAAAAGAAAAAAATCATATAAATATGTTTTAAAATATGTTTATACATTTTGAAATCAAACCATTTTATGCAGCCATTTTAAGTTTTATAATGGAAGTATATTTGTAGAACAGCAATGTGTCATTAGTTTTTTTATATGTTACCTCATGTCCCAGTTTAGTCGTAAGAAACTTGCTTTTTAAGAATTATGAGGTTAATAATTATATAAAGTACCTCTAGAGAAAATATAAACATTAATTTTGGAACAAAAATGTGTTCTTCTTAAAAGTGTAGTGAACATTTCACCAAGGTTTTATCTAATTAACTTTAATTAGGTGACAATTTCACTACAGAATTTCAAATGGAAATAAAGATGTATTCTTAAAAGAGCAAAATTGGTTTGTAACAATTTCTTCTTTATTACTGAAATCCTGTTGCTCTATGAGTCAGCCTGAGCACGAAACCTAACATTTTTCAAATTGTCTCTACAGGCAAATATTCAGAAATTATTCTCCAAAATTGCTCTCAAATTTTCAATACAGAACCAAAAAAATTGGCTAGTACTTACAAATTAGAAAGAAAAAGAGCATCAAAACACAGTGACACACGTTGCAACTGGTAAAGCAAGCCATCTTATGAGAACATTCAAGCAAGCCATCATTGTATATCTTACCATTTCTCTAGCATTTCGGCAAAGTGCCATATCAGGATCCAATTTATCACGAACAAAATAGTTTCTTTCATTCATCTCTGATCGGAGTGTCTTTCCCTTAATTAAATACACATTAGCCATGTATGGGACATTCCATACTCCTCTGGAAGTAAAGAGAACACATTCCAAAATACCACATATACAAATCATTTTAAGTTTTATTTTTACATGTTTAGAATAAATACTTTGTATGTGTGTAAACTTTGTATATACAAAACACTAAATCAACACAACAAACACATTTAATGATATTTGACATATATATATGATTACTTGGCATGCATTATAGTTTTATGAGAATTAGGAAATGAACTACTATCTCTTTAGATAAATTTCAATTTAGAGTTGCTATCTGTTTGGCATTTTTAGCTGTCACCTCTCATTTAATTGTTGCAGTTAGGGACTAATATTTTGTTGTACAGAATGTGCTTCCACTTGAGTTTAAAGAGTCTGATAGTAAAATTAATAACATACAACCAGTGCGGCGCTAGAGCCAGTGCATACTGGCTTCCCAGAACTGACTTCGAGTACCACGTCTACGTTTAGTGATTTTACACTGGAATCCAGAAATCAGCCATGATAGCAGTATTTACACCACAGATATTGGCATACACTATAAATCAAGGCATCTCCCACCCCAAGAGTCAATTGTTAGGCATTTATCAGTGTGCAAATGAATATAGCCTAAAGTGCTCCTAAATTATGTTCTTTTGTATTTCTTTAAGCCATTTCAAATCTTTTGTAGAAAAAGGAAGAAAATAATGAAGAAATCTAGCCATAAGTACATGAGTGCTGGGAGACACTTTTGTCTTTCATCCTTCCACCCCTCATCCTTATTCTGAACATGACTCATTTACTAAGAAACACATAAGAAACGTTTTGCCTCAAAGACTGTAAATGTTGCTTTTAGAGAACAGCAAGGTAAGATCTTTGCCAAGGAAATGTGGGTAGACAGCCTTAAGAATTACAGCAGTCCCCTTTATGTGAAGGGAATATGTCCCAAGACCCCCAGTAGATGTCTAAAACCACAGATAATATTGAACACACACACACACACACACACACACACACACACACACACACACACACACATGCATACACACATATACAGTACTGTTTTGCTTACACATACATACTTAGGATAAAGCTTAATTTATAAATTAAGCACAGTAAGAGATTAACAATAACTTAAACAAAATAAACTATAATGATATACTGTAAAAAAAGTTATACAAATGTAGTTTCTTTCTCTCTTTCTCAAAATATCTTAATATTTTCAGACCACAGTTGACCACAAGTAAACTGAAACCATGGAAAGCAAATCCCTAGATAAGAAGGGATTACTGTGTACAATGTGTCAGCTGAATTCAGAACTTATCTATGGTGGATTAAGCAGTGTTTCAGTTTTGAAGGAAAAAATTCTCTCTCTCTCTCTCTCTCTCTCTCTCTCTCTCTCTCTCTCAGATATCATTCCTTTCTGTAGCTTTGGAACATGAAGTATATTCTCATATTAACTAGATCAAAAGCCTCTACCATATGCTTTTCCTTACATTCTAGACAATGGGAAGTATAATGGGAAGTACTGTATGATAGGAGGTTGGAGATTTTCTGCAACGTAAAACACAAATTCTCCACTCTATTTTTGCAAGCCTTCATTTTGGCTTTGCCAACAGATAGTATAAGGTACATGGTCTATACAAATCATCCCAGAGTCCACAAAACTACACCGGAACAGCAGAATATGATTTTACTAGTGTCTTCTCAGCTATCATACTTACTAATTGCAGCTAACAAAAGCCTGCATCATACCTGCATCATTCAGATTTAAGCTTTCTATACCAATTATCATTTTCACAAGTAAAACATCCTTTTACTACTCAGCTATTTAAAGAGAAACGTGATTTTCTCTCTAAATTTAAGGGCACATCTTTTTAGTTCACTTTTTAATTGGGTGGATGTGTTTGAGAACTAAGACAAAGCATTTAATGGGTCAGTCACTTTGGTTCATCATCTGTATGAAAAAAAGAATGACATTCGTCCTAGATACTGTCTTGGCAAAACTACTTCGATTGTGATTATTTTTAACTTAAAAAAATCAACCATTTTCTCTGAAATAAATATCAATAATGTATACTTTGTAGCACATATATTCTTTTCAACCTCTATAGAAACCCCTCTTTAAAGCAGAATATCAACTGTTTCACACAAAACACTCATGCAATCAAAAATACTGGAAGGTGCTGGTTGTTACTGCTGTTTGCTTATTTATAAAATTTAAAATCTATCAAAACAACCCTTAATTCTGACCATTAAAAAGTTAGTTATACTAAATTGCCTTCCCAAATTTTTAACTAGAGAGTATTATTCTCCTACCAACCATAAGATGGGTACCCATGGTAACCACATATTGTTGCTTAGTATTTCTTATAACAATGAGTTTGTTTCTCTGAAGATTTGGAACTTTAAACATAATTTTTTAAAATATTAGTTTTATACTAGTATTTCAAGATTCCAAGTGGTCTCTAAGTTCTCAAATTTCCATTAAATAAAAAGAAAATAGATAAACACCAAAAATGTTTGAGTAATATTAACAAGTCTACATCTTTATATTATAGTATTTAACATTAAAACATTAAGTAAAGTGACTTACACTCTGTTCCCTTGAACAATATCCACATAATCCTCAGATCGTGCATAATATCCATCAGGACTCAATGCTCCCCAGAAGTTGGACCATAGCTTTCCATGACGAGTTACAAGAGGAGCAATGATCTTTCTAAAGAGACAGAAATCCATATAATATTTTTAAGTTGCCACAAAATTATGTGTTTGGGGTTTAGCATGACACATAATACAATAAAGTTCATTTACCATACAGTGGTTAATTCAAACATATAAAATAAAGTATTTCCTTCTAATAGCTTTCCTTAAATGAGTACACTGCTAATTTTTAACCATATTTTTAAAAAAGTAACAAAGAAGGAAAAAGTCATTGAAATGCTAATAAATACATAAAAATAACTTTTAAAAATATTTGACTTAACATCCATGAGAGTAAAACTATCTTAATTAATTATATTTAAATATAATTCAACTATTTCAGAAATTTCACTAAACAAAATAAAATATTTTCATTGTTATTAGGTAGATAACAGCTCCTGGAAAGAGTATTTGTTGAATAAAAAACATTGGATAAAGATGAGCTGAGACATTTGTAAAAACTCCAGTTTTCCTAAAGTTGAGTCACAAATTATTTTAAAATATATTTTGATTTTTTAATGACTTTTAAAAATAGGTTGTGGTTAAAGTAAGCTAGCCCTGGCAACAATGGACTTTTTTCTAGTACTTTAACTATTTTAGAAACAGAATAGATGGTAACTGCAACAGTATTCTCTTTCACTATTTACCAGAAAAGTGGTCTCTTTGAAACAAGAACATGTTACAAATTTAAAATGTGCCAGATTTCTCCTAAGGGACATATAATTTTTTATGCCAACATTTTCTAAATGATATAACAAAACATAAGTTTCCTCTAGAATTACGTTCAAAATGCAGTAATGACACACAATTTTTAACATATATCATGCAAAATAATGATTTTGCTTTATTATTTTTTCCTATTCTATTAAAATAAAATATTAACCAGAAACACATATTTTGTTTTGTTTAGAATACCTACACTATTGGAAATAATAATACAAATTAGAACTGCATTTAAGACAAGTGGGACCTTATTAAACTGACAAGCTTCTGCAAAGCCAAAGAAACCATCAAGAGAGCAGGGAGACAGCCTACAGACTGGGAAAAAGTATTTGCCAACTCCAGGTCCAACAAAGGCTTAACATCCTGGATCTACAAGGAACTCAAACGTGCTGAAACAAACAAACAAACAAACAAACAACCCCATTATAAAATGGGCAAAAGATATGAACAGACATTTCACAAAGGAAGACATCCGAGCAGCCAACAAACACATGAAGAAATGTTCAACCTCACTAATCATCAGGGAGATGCAAATCAAAACCACACTGAGATACCACCTAACCCCAGTCAGAATGGCAATTATCAACAAGTCAAAAAATAACAGCTGCTGGAGAGGGTGTGGTGAAAAGGGAACACTTCTACACTGTTGGTGGGAATGTAAACTAGTGCAACCTCTGTGGAAAGCAGTGTGGTGATTCC